AATTATAGGCTTAGGAAAAAACGCCTTGTTTCCCTTCCTTTGGGACACCCGCATTTTGGCGCCAAATTCAAAAAATTTGGGTGTTCCAACTCACAAAAGCCAAAATAGGTGACAAATGCAAATCACATCAAAAATGCTGATTGAGAATGCTTCATTTCCGAAAAACTTAAAAGTTCCAAATATTCATATTTCAAGTGCCAAGGCGTTTTAGCCTAAGCCTAAAATAAAGAAGCAAATAACAGGAATTTGTATTTTATTATATTATTTTATACTTTCTATAGGTCCAGACACCTCAAAAATATTTCTAACATGCTTAGAATTAATGCGTAAGTCAGAAAATGCCAAAAAAAGTCAAAAAAGAGTCCCCCCCCCCCGACCAACATAGCGCCCTGGAAATTTAGGCCCCCCAGCCAAATTTTGCGATGCCACGTCATCTGTAGCTGACGCGTCGCGTGTCGGCGTAGCGGTCGCAACCCCCACAGCTTATGATTCTAAAGTTCATATTTTTTCAGAGACGAAGGCCTCCACCGCGACTTCGCTTGCCTCCTCTACTCAATGCTTCAAAACAAGCTGAGCCAAGAGCGCATCTTCGAGATCATCAGAGACGCTGTCGCCATTGAGCAGGAGTTCCTCACCGAAGCCCTCCCCGTTGACATGATCGGAATGAACTGCCGACTGATGTCCCAGTACATCGAGTTCGTCGCCGATCATCTGCTCCAGGAGCTCGGATGCGATAAGCTGTACAACGTCAAGAATCCATTTGACTTCATGGAGAACATCTCGATCGATGGAAAGACCAACTTCTTCGAGAAGCGCGTTTCCGAGTATCAGCGACCGGGCGTCATGGTCAGCGAGACCGAGAGACAGTTCGATTTGGAAGCGGACTTCTAAATTCTCTTATCACTTTTTTTCAAAAATTCACTTCAATTATTTTTTGTAAAGATCTCCTGTATCAATTCCTATGAACTGATTTTTATGTTTTCTGGCGTTTCCTCCATCATTCTTACATGTAATGTTAACCCTCTTTTTTGCTTTTCGTTCTCTGTTCTAATGAAACTCATGATTGCCGAAGGTTTGCAGCAAGTGGATCGTCGAGAAGTCGAAGGAGCTCTGAAAAGTTGAAATGGGGGAAAAGAAATGAGGGACTTTCAGAGCATTACGACAATTTATTGATTACACAAAACGGGCGATGATAGGAAGGGGCTCGGGACGTTCTCCAGGGGAATTTTTGGTGCTCTGAGGTGACGAGTGGATTCTGAAGACGTGACAGTCCATCAGAGTCGTCGTTTGCAATAGTAGGGAGAGAAAAGAGCACGAAAAGGAGAAAGAAGTTGTCGCTGCGACAACGACAAATAACATGGGGAGAGGAATAAAAAAGGAGAGGGGGTTTTTGTGGGATTGGGGAAGTCAGAGTTGTCGGAAAATACCCAAAAAACGTTTCGACACTTGACTTTTTAGTATAAAGTGGAAGAAGAATGAGGGAGCAGGGGACGTTTTTAGCAAATCGGAACCAAGAGACTTGTTTTTGGTCCCCTGGCTATGAAATAATAAGACAGAGAAAGAAAGGGTTCATCATTAAGTGGGAAAAAAAAGAAAAATGGGGAATTTTCAGGATGGGTGATTGGTATGTTGAGAGGGAGGAGGGGACGCATTCAGAAATAATGAAAAAAAAACGGGGAAAAAAAGAAGGCGAAAATAATCCTACTATAAAGAAAAATTTTGAAGAAAAGGGGATACGGGATGGGGGGTATTTATAAAACGACAAATATGGTGTTAAGAACGGGCTCGAATG